TTTTTTTCCTGTTTGCTTTAAGGCTGGATCATTAAATCAACTAGATGACGAACTAATCTCAACCTGAAGAAACAAAGTGTCATCCACGTTGAAGTGTCTCGAGTAGAGTTTTTCATGTGATTTGAACGTTCTCCAACCCTTTCCAGCGATTCCTTCTGTCAGAGGCCTTACAAAGTTTGAAAGATTTTGAGTAACGAATACAGTAGCCACGTATTCCCGTTGGTCTAGATTTTCCTGCTGATCAATCAAAGTGAATTTCACTTTCTTTTCGAAGGGCCAGGGTAATATTGCGTCTTATTATCCAACTACCCTTCGTAGGGTACAAATAACGCCATAGACGAGTACAAATATCACGCGGTATTTGTACTTTAGAGTACCGGTTAAACAGGTTTTCTCGCATCGCGCAAGCGAAAGGTTAAATTGTAGTTACGAAAAAAAGAAATGGCGGGCAATTTGAATCATATTTCCGACGATGGAGAGTCAGAATGGCTGGCAAATATACATCCAAGTTAATTAGATAAATCCGACGAAGAAAAACAGCTAGACGACTTGGAAATTTCTTTATTTATTGAAGAAAATAGAAACAGCAACACGACAACGCGCCAATTCCGTTCCGCTTCGCAAACTTCTGTCACGCACTCCCCGTAAATAAATATCCACGAAACTCGCCCGCACTGAAATAACAGTTTGGCGTGTTGGATAATAAATAACTTATTAGGCGTTTTGTTGTGTAGTATCGCTAAGTATTACTCGTTATTTGTATTTTAACTCGCTCTACGGGCTCGTCAAAATACGGCACAACTCGTAAAATGGATCACCATCTATTCTCTCTTTTCCTTCGTTCTTTGCTTGTCTCAAAATCGCGCTGAAACCGTCAATCCTCCAAAGAAAACGTTAGTATGTTTTACGCTTCACAACTGTGGCAGTTCCATTTTTTTTTCAAATCAACTCTTGTTTCATTTAACAAAGCCTCGGTGCTTGTCAATTTATCTTCTGTCTTCTTTAACATATCTTCTGTCGTCTTTAACTTTTCCTCTGTCTTCTTCAACTTATCTATTGTGTTTTACACAATTTGGTTTCCGTGTTATTTAGTTTACAATATACTTATTCAAGATGGACTCTCATGGCTGATTGAAGATGACATTCCCTTTCCCGACGTTGAACCTACGAGAAAATTTACAGCTCATTTACCAGAAAATCTACGAACTCTTATCCGAGTGCTAAATTATGACAGCTGATCTATTTCAAGGTTTCTTTTAGATATTGGTATTGGTTATATTTACACGAAACTTCGACGAGAAAGGTCATTTATTACATGGCTGGCTCCATAAACGAGTATGATTAAGCGAACGCTGTAAACTGATCGGTTTTAAGTCGCAGAGACTGGCCTATCTATCTCATCAACCCTTAACTGTCTTTCATTTCGTAAAACGAAACAAATTGCTTTTAGTCGGCTTTCATACCTCGTAGCCTCTTAGAAACATCTTCTGTAACAATAAATTATCTTCCAGACCTCGTCTTGATGATATTAAAAACAAAGCAAAACACTATAGGATAAAAGCTACGTGGTGTGTTTCCCTGGGCCTGTTATATAAATTTTTCACTTTTGTTTCACAACCTATTTCTGCATATGGACAAGAAATTATAGTCACTGGACACCCATCTTCAATGTGAGTCGAAACCTGCATCATATGAAACAAAGGACCAAATACTCAAGTGGTCATTATATTGTTAAGTGAGTTTGTAGTCATGATTGTTAGACGACACAGAGCATCCGTCAACTAAGAACGAAAAGGAATAACTTTCGCCAAAACCTCCATGAATGGAAAAGAGCACTGAAAGGGTCGCGGGAATACACACCCGCCATCAGTTTTGTTCCTCTCCTCTTTCTGAGAGCTTGGAACAGACTACTAAGACAGCGAACATCGAACTTATTGAATGTTACTCTAGCATTGTTTCACCGAAACCATCGCTTGAAGCGAACTGATTGACGTAGAACAAGGTTATTTTGGTTTATATCAACTGAGTTGATAATGTACAGTGGCCACCGTAAAGAGATTCAAAGCTGACGTTTCGAGCTTTAGCCCTTCATCAAAGCGAGTGAGAGGGGCTAACGCTCGAAACTCGTTCGAAACTCGAGCTTTGAAACCTTTTATGTCGGCCAATTTACGTTATCAACTCATTTGATGATACAAATTTACCTTGTTATACTCCCCTGCCGACGCAGCACCTCAGTTTCTTTGGAGAGTTAACCCCTTTTTTGATTTACGTAGATGTGAGCATTGATATAGATATCGCAAGCTCTGGTGATTATAGAGATGCACACGCTCTGATAGGTCGAGGATCGCGTCATATCTCGCAGTAATTACCTCGCTCGAGGTAATTTAACAATCTTACAACAGAATTCGAAAGCACCTGAGCAATTATACTAAGACAATTATGTGACTAATGTGACTAATGTGACCTAAAGTGATCACCACACTGACCAAACAGTTTTTGAGATGTGAGAACTGTATTTCTGCCAACAAAACTTTACACCAAACAAAAAAGGCGACTAAACCAAAACCAAAAAAACAACAACAACAACAACAACACGAGGTCTCGAATCACGTCATTATCACGTGATCACAATTCCAGATACGCAAAGCGTACAAACTGAACTAAATGTTATTTTAACTAGACCAATATAGTTATAGTCGCGACAATTAAAGTTTAGTGAATATTGTCGCCTCCCCTCTGTTGTTCTTATTGCGGCCGTTTCCTTGACAACTGCTACCAATGGTTTTCATTTGCCCGCCTTTTGCTCAGTTCCAATGATTGAGGGAATAGAACAGGCTACAAAAGAAAAGGGGGGAGGGGGTAAAGGGGTTTTTGATGTTTTTCATGGGTATTCAGATGCAATGGGGAATTAACGTTCCATGGTTTTCAATTTTCCACAAGAAAACAAGAACTGTTCGGCATTTTTTATCTCGTAAACATCGCATGCTTGTGATTCTGATCATAATGAGCAAGCAAATTTTGATCAAGCAACAGCTGGTAATTAAAGATCAGTCAGAAATCTTGTTAGCTTTGTCGCATCCTTCTTTAGTTTCCGTCGGACACTCTTTCACGATTCACAATTTTGTTTATTTTACATTATTATCCATCAAATATTTAAGTTCTCGCGCAGTTGGTCTAAACACGTTACGTGAAAAAATATTCCCCAACTAAAACTTGGTGATATTCCCTATATTTTCAAACCCTACGTCCACTACAGTAAGTTTTCGTTCACATTTTCAATTTCAGATGAGAGAGTATTTTGTGTTTGTTACAGAAGAAGGGAAAAATTTGTTTTTTCATAAAGTCGTACCAGAAACCACTCAAAAGAAAACCTCCCTCGCAGAAAACATTAGCTTAAAACAATGTTCGTACATTTGTGCTCGGACATTACCTGTTCTTCTAATCCCACAGTTTTCCTTAACCTGCACTTTCGAATAACTGTTCTCATCTCGGAACAGTTAAAGTCCGTAGACAGATATCCGTGCATATTTTCGCACAAAAGAAGCTGTTGTTTGGGGAAAAGATGTGAATTGATGCATGAGAGATGAATACCAAGCATTTAAACTGCATCTAGTTGTAAAACATTAACTACGAATTTCAGACTGTGTAGGAAACGTTGTGAGTCTTACCGTTTCCCTCGGGATTGAACGACCACAGCTCTTTGGACAAGTTACTGGAAACTTGCTGCACTGTCTTATGTGGTACTACAAAAAAGAATCCAAGAAACACAGTCACGAATGCGTAAATTTTATATCTCTACACTATTTGCTAATCAGTTTCCTGTAGGAAATCGGGTTTTAAAATCTAATATTCTTTTTATTTACATACTCTAATTTGTACTCGCTTTGAAGGCTCTCAACTTTGGCGACAGAAACATTAAAATACTTTCTGGTAAGCGGTAAATTATATTGCATCCGAAAATGTTTACAAATTATTTGTCATGAATTTTATAACCGTTACTACCTGAATTTTGCATTCTGGGTGGGGCTCAGAGCAGTATGTACATTGAAGGATTCTCCATGGACACTCATCATTTTCGTGTTGTTTGATTGGATGTCTTCTTTGGATTTTTTCGTGACAGTTGTTGTTGGAAACTCTACTTGCTGAAAAGGGCAAGATTCCAAGTGGACCTATTAAACAAATATAACCAAAACAGATTTAATTTTGGCATTGGTTCCCAACCCTACTGACGAATTAAAATTATGAAACTCTTGGCTCTCCATGTCTCGGCTTCTACAGGGACTTTAGCTATGCCTGTGGCATGGGAAAAATTATGCTGATGAACTTGTTCATTGATACTCGGCGAAATATGTGCCGTTTTACCTTCTTGTTCTTCAGTTCCTCAGTCCATTTACAGCCATCATTTGTGCATCTGATTGCCAGAGAAAGAATCTTCCTTTCTGTTGCGTTATCGGGGAAAATGTCCTAAGAAATAATCACTCTCACATTGTTCCAGTCATACGTCACCAAGTTCTAGGTAGGTCGATTTGTAAGGTTAACCTTGATTTAAGAATGAACGCTTTCCCCTATAAGAGTCCTCAAGAGGGAGTGTTTATTAAATGGTGGTTTTGAGAAAAATACAGAGTTTATTAAAAAAAAAACCATTGAAGTATATTTTCAAGAAGAGAAAACAAACAAATTAAACAACAGACTGAATAAGAAAACAGTGTTCAAAATTTTTATTTTAAAATAAAATGAATGCTTCAGGAAGACAATAACAAGTCAAACCATGGAGAATGGTCTAGCACTATATGAGGAATAAAAGAAAAAATGAAGCCAAATAATTCTGTTGGATTTTTACCTTCACTCAGCCATGTAAACCATTCTTAAATTTTCAGAATATTAACAGGTTATTTACCCGGTCTGGATCCAGATTCTGTTTGTCTGCCGGGCAGGTTAAATACACTTCTTGACTTTGCTGTCTGTGAGAAAATTAGATCATAAAAAACAGTAAGTATGTAAGTAATAAAGTACATAAAGGTTTTATTTAAAGAGGGTTACATTTGACAATAGTAAAAACGCTGATGAACTCGTGGCTCAGGTAACACTACTGAAAAGGCCTAAGAAATAGGTATTATAAAAACTCTCAAACTATGTGCATCACAAGGATAAATATCCTATCCACAATTCAAAATATAAAAAACTTTTCCTACGTAAATGAACATGAAAATATTGCAATTACTTGGAGAGTTTTCATAATAATATATAGGTTTTTGCTTTAAATGCAAATTTTCTCATATCCCATCTCAACGAACACTTCAGATGCTAAATATTTAGGAAGCTTTCTTCTCCTTGATTGTCCACAATTTACGTAATTCAATGCTCAGTGACACAGCACCGTCTGCAACATTTGAAACAAAAGTTGCAAAATAAACTTCAACAACAACGCGTAGAAACGGTTTAAAAACGCGTAGAAACGGTTTAACAACGAAGAAGAATCTTCAGGCCCTGCCAGGGGTTTTGGGTATACGGCATCTTGGGCCTTTTTATTTCAGGTATATGGTATTTTTTGGTCAAAATTCGGGTATGAAGTATTTAGTTTTCCTAAATTTTAGGTATTCGGTATATGATACAGAAATTTATAATTCATTTTTCAGTTTTATTATGGTTCTTACGTGCGAGGTGCTCGACGCGACAGCCCCGCAGCCCCCTTCTCTACCCCCCCTACCCCTCACAAAAAAAAAATTAAATATTGCAATATCAGGGCTCTGATGGGTCGAAGCCTAAGGCTCTTCGTGCACTATTACGCATGCCTGCCGAAACATCATGATTACTAAAGTATGCGCTCGGTGCCAATCTCATGTTTTATTCATCGCTGCGAAGACGCGAAGGCTTGCGATAAATGGTCTACCTTCGTAAAAATCGAGCTGAACGAATCCTTAGTCCACCTACGAAAGAGATTCGCCATCGAAGATTACGCAGGATTCAAAACGAGAGCAGCTGAGAAAGGGATTGCAAAGCTCAATTTTCTGCTCGGAGTGAAACACAAGAAGCCCAATCCACCGGAATTTCCGAATGGCCGGCCACACACGGCAACCACAGAAGATGAATGGATCTTTTATAAAGAGTTTCTCCTTGGCATGGAGGGGAAAGAATATGAATTAGTTGGTAGATCACTCTTTGATCTTTGAAATTATATATCAGTGATATTTGATATTTTCATGCGGTGATCACTGCCTGTTGTGACAAGCATGCTTGCTTCTTCTTATCAGTGTGTTATCATGTCTTATCCTCTGCAATAAATTATATTTTAAAAGCGAATGCAAGAGACGTAGTTTGAATCTTCTTGTGCTATAATACTTCTCTGTTAATGTCTGGTCTTTCACACTGTTTTAAAATATCCTTTGATCTCTGCTAGCCTGCTATGTGCTCATAATATCTCATTATTTCTCATGGTCTCTTAGATTTCTTTGTTGATTTGTTGATTCATGTAGAGACACCAAGCTACTATGTTTTCATTGTTTTATCTTCGGACCGCTGGACAAATGATGTCAGCTCGTGACATAAACAACAACCATTAAACATGAAATGGTTTGACATGTTATGACATGTGGTTTATTATTTTTTTTCATTTAAATTTTTTGCACCAGTTTGAAATTTTTAAACCAGTTTCATATTTTTGAACTGGTTTAATTTTTGCCAAATTAGCTCTTGGAGACTATAATGCAGTGGGGGAGTCCGGGACCAAATAAGGTATGGTGAAGGGGAGAAAAAGAATAGGGAGGTTGGGAGGAAATTTGTCATTACTCGGTCTACGTATTTCGTAGTTTCCCGAATGTACAAACCGCGTTCTGCTCCAAACAGCTCACTGTATATTACAAAACTCGTAGAGGATGTCGTTAACGACTTTGACAGTGCTGGGTATGTCAGAACTCTTTGTCATACCCAGGATGTCGTCGATCCGCTTTTATTCACTACTTCTGGAGAAGAACATGTCATCCCAAAATTGGCGATAAAAGGGGTAGTAAGCAACATCACAGTTGTTGACAATGAAACTATTGAAATAGATGAGGGGGATTATTTTCTGCTC